AGGCGAGGTACGAGTTTGACGGAGCAAGTGAGGAGCTCTGCTGGGAGAGCCTCCGGGGCGTCGTTTTCTCACGTTCCGTTACTTCTGTCACGGACGGATCTCTTAACTCGAGGTACGCGATCGAGAGCTGCCTCAGTCACTCCAAACACTGAAGCGGGAGCTGCAGCCCAGCGTCAGCAGAACCAGAGTAACGTCCGTTCGCGGTACCCGGGCCTTGGGGTCCAGAGCCCCCGGCTCACAGGCACGGTTTTCTGTTTTTCTTCCCCCCCCGCATTGCTCGCTGCATCTGAAGCTTTGGCCAAGCTATGATGAATGTGTCAGTTCAGCTGTGCGATACTGGCACTATCTGCAGTATAAAAAAAAAAAAAGCCTGCGATACAGAAAGAAGAATGTGGAAACAGGGAAAAGGTTTATGTAGGGACATGATCCAAAACCATATTGAAAATGGAAGCAATGTTAAACTACATGAGAAAAACAAAAATAAAAATTTTAGAAATGTAATGTTATTTGAACAAACATGGATCATGGATGTTTCTGTTGGCTGGCTATACCCCTTTGAAAAATTCTACAATGATTTGACTTCAGTGTATTATAGTTACTAAGACTTTATTCTTCAGCTTAGCTTTTGTGGTTTCATATTCTGAGCAACAGAATAAATTATCTTGAAAAATGGAATGAGGTATCTTCTTTCCAGGTAGGAGAAGGATGCTGTAGCCATTACAGTGCTGGCCAGTATCTTGAAGCACCTGCATTTTTTTTTCCCTACTCTGCCACAGACTTCCGCAGTGAAGTTGGGTAAGTCAAGCTCTGATCCTCTGAAGGCGCCAAACACCTACTAAGGATCTCCTTTTGTCTCCATTTTTCATCTTTCATAAGGAATTACAGTATTTCTTTACTTCAAGCAGATTTTCAGGGTAAAAATATTAAGGATTAGGAGTGGCTTGGATATTTGGCAGTGGAAGGGGTGGTGGGACCTTGTTAGCTTTTCAATAGTATTGCCTTGATTAAATAGCATACATAATTTAAATGCAGGATATAATCAAGCTTTGCTCCTTGATAAACAAAATGATCAGTTTCTCATGTACTACTTTTTTTCAATTTAGCTTCAGTGTTACCTTTTTAAAGTTAACTTTCAAGCAATAATTACATATTAACGTGGAACAACCTCCTGTAGCTGACTTTATGTCAGCCACCAAGTAGAATTCATCATGGTAGAAGATTTGCTTGTAGCTAAAGTAAATTAGCTAGTCCCACTCTACACTTCAGAAGCTTTGATATGCCTATTAGACATAGTCATCTCTCCTCACTGCCTAAGCTTTCAAAGCATCAGACAGAAAGTAAGTCTGCTGGAGGACTTTCAGAGTGGCTACTCTGATCTGTGAGGGAGTTTGAATGCTGGTTCTGTAGCCTAAGTAAAGTGAAAGTTACCCGAGTTGGTTCTCCTCCTTTTTTTTTTTAAACTCAGGTCCCTTACAATAGTATTTCCTCTCTCACATGGGAAGTGTAAAGTGCAATTGCTTCTGGCTTGCCTTTTTTTGTGAGCTAGTTCCGCTGCACACAGCCTGAGCTGAGATCTGACTAGCAGAGCTGTGCTCCTTTAAAACAACAGACAATTTTTTTTTCCTACAAACTGCCAGGGAGTCATGAACCTGTTCCTTTTTACTTTCTGCACTTATGCAGTTAACTTGCAATTAAATTGTTTATTCAGAAGTGGTAATAATATCTCTAAACCCATGAATCAAAAAGGAAAACTTGAGTTGGGATGTATATTGCATATCCTCAGTATGGAGTTTGAAATCCATATGCTGCTTAAAGGCTCAATAGAAGCAGGCTTTCCCCGAGCTATAGTTTTGGGGTTTTTTTGTGTGTGTGTTAACTGAGAGGAATGCCTCACGATTGTGATTAAAGAGACTTATATTTATCACAGGTTTATGTACAATCTTACATTGCTACTTAAATTTTTCTAGGATAAATGGGTGTGTATGACTTTTCCCCTGACCTAACACGGTTCCATGTCTTGTTTGGTAAGTTTGTATTTAAAAATCTTTGACAGTTGTACCTTGTTACCCAGTCATACTTTAATGTGAAAAAGTTCTGGTGAAATGCCTTGCTTGAGAGGATTTCCACAGTGCTGAGATGTTTAAATGTTGTTGTATCAACCTTCAGTAAAGGAGACTGTTCAGTATCTCTTCTCTCTAGGTCTGCTATGTGTATGTGCTCTATGCTGTTTCTTAACCTCTTGCTTGACTGACTTGTAGCAGAAAACTTTCTGAACTCCTGCTTATAGGGGCTACTTTTGATGTTTTCCCACCGCCATGTTTAATAAATTGCAGCAACTCCACTAACACTCACTTGTTTCTGTTCTCAAGGACTGTTCCTGTATTCTCCGTACACCAGTTGAATCAATCAGACCAGAAGAGCTATCTCAGAGCAGTGTCCATGAATGTCTGGTAAGAAGAAAATAGAAACATTAACTGGCAAAGTTAAATATGAAGCTAGTACATATTAAAAATAATCTCATTAGGGGGTACTTCTTAAAATATTAACAGCAAAAATAACCAGAGTACTTCGGGGCTTCCACTTTGGAAGAAGACTATAGGTGACTAAGTGTTACTCTTAATCTTGTACCAGTTTAAAAACAAAAAAACCACATACACACCAACAAAAAAAAAACCCAACAGTAGCTCATAAAACTGAGTCTCAGTGTAATAGTAAAAGCACCAGCTTGAATATTCTGACTTGAGTACTTGATCTTAGCATTCTAATTAATTGTATTTGTGTGTTAATTTTAAACATGTAAATGTTTAAAAATTACATAGTAATTTTGGGAACTGTTTGTTTTTCCTCACTGTTAGGCTGATTCTGATCTAGCCTGGATTCCCCCATCTACAGGAAGGAATGAAATGGTATTTTGCTCTTCTAATGTCTCTCACTATGAACTCCAGCTGGAACTAGGTAACATAAGTGTACCTTAAAATATTTCTTGTTCTTGCAGATGCATGCTCTCTACAGGTTATTGCTAACTGCAGTAAATACTAAGTTTGGAAAATGTATTATAAGCTGACTAGAACTATTCTGGTGTCTCCTTAGTTGAGAAAAGTGCAGAACATTGCTCATGTTTCAGTAATCACTTATTTTAAGATAGAAGACAAATCGACAATTACCTGATTTTTTTTCTTCATGTTTGTGCATGTGCATGTCAGTTTTCTAAATCTGTGGTATATAGATAACACAGCATTAAGTAACATCATGTCTTGTTACTTGGCTACCCGAGTTGATTGTCCTAAGGATGCTGCCCTGAGTCCTACTGTGCAGGCACAAGTTTATGTGAATATGCATGCTAAAAGTGTTGTTCACTTAGATGTATAATTTATATTGACAAATGTTTAAACATTTTTAGCTGTTCTAAAAATAGCAGAGCCATGCTCTAACTGATTTGCTGGGTATATTTTGCTGAACCACTTTTGTTGCAAGACATTCTTAAAGAAAAGGTCATGCTGCTATCAATTGCAATTTTAGAACTGTAAAATTATCTCTAAATATGAAGGAAATTATGTGGTGGATTATTGTATTTTCCAATGTTAAGGTAGCCACTTGTGGTTTCAGGAAGGAGGTTCAACAACTTAACTTCAGTCTACCTTGCACGTCATACACCTACAGGCATGCAAGTTGCTGTAAGGATCACAGACCTAGAAAACTGCTCTGAAGAGCATTTGAAAGCCTTACAGGTAAAGCAACAGCATTTCTGCACAAGTCTGATGAAGATAGTGATGAATACATATGAGGTATGAATACATACCTCCGTTACTAAACAGAGGTAGTCTTTGTGTTTGTACTGGGTCACTTCAGTCAAGTTTTTCCTTCACAGGAGTAGAATATGAATACAAGACATATGTAAATTTGAGTTGCTTTCTGAAGAAAACAGTTGACAAGTGTTTTAGAAATACTTCTGTAATTGTACAACTCTTTCTTTGAAACATATTCTGTACTCTGTATTTAACACCAAAACTTCAGACTATGAGCAAACTGGATTTACTTCAGACAAATGCAATTACAGGCAAGTTAGTTACATTTCTACTGCAGGCTATGCACATCACCTGCAACTTTGAATAAATGCACACAGTGAACAGTTCTTTCTACTGATTACTGACTTAGTTAATGCTCTTAGTAAGACTGTTGTCTTGTGTTTAACACATCCACTTTCATTTAATTTCATAGAATGAGGTGGTTTTATCCCACTTTTTCCAGCATCCCAACGTAATGACGCTTTGGACAGTGTTTACAGCTGGCAGTTGGCTTTGGGTCATCTCCCCATTTATGGCCTATGGTAAGAACTGTTAATTGCAATTTTGGAATTGGAGGAAGGGCTGATACAATTTGGACCACATGGTCCATGAGAGGTTTTTCTTTAAGCATCTCCTGTCTTGTAGAAAAAACAAACTTTCCCAAACCTTTTGTTTAGAGAAGTCTTCTGTACATAATCTTCCTCCCCAGTGAAGATTGGTATTTGAACTGCATTAAATCGCCTTTAGTCCTAACACCCACCATGTGAGGAATGATAATTGGGAGATGTACTTGACTTTACACAACTTTGAATTTTGCCAACAGAAAACTTGTCTGGGTTGAATACAGGTTTGGCATAGACTTTCAGTTAACAGAAGCATGATTTGAGTGTGATCTTTGCCTGATGGATGCATCAGTTGCATCCATGTAACTGTTCTTGATGTACTATAGTCCATATAAAGATGAGAATGCTGCTCTTGATGAAGGTGTACAGTGAAGCAAGCATAGACAAGTAATTTAACAAGACTTGTTAGGCTTAACTGGTTTTTTTTTGACTTCTAGGTTCGGCTAGACACTTGCTGAAGACTTACTTTCCTGAAGGAATGAGTGAAGCTTTGATAGGGAACATTCTATTTGGTGCAATCAGAGGATTAAATTACATGCACCAGAATGGCTACATTCACAGGTAGGAGAATGTCAATACATAAGAATCAGATTACAGCATCCAGTTTATTAAGAATTCAGTTTCACTTCAAAACTCATTTTCAGCTTAAGTGTTGTCTCCTTCCTTTTTCTATATACCTTCTTATGTCAAACAGTGCAGAAGCAGCTTTTTTCAATAATACAGCAGAACAAGTTTGTAGAAGCTTAACAAGAACGGTATTCGTACATTATTTAAAGCCAATTGTTACAGGGGTTATACATCTGTCTGACTTTTGTCTCTTTGAAGCGGGAGAACCAGAGTTGTAGAAGGGGCTTCCTTACTTTACACCCTTTGCAGGGGAGGAGGGCCCTTCTCCAATTTCTCTTTCTGGCAGTTTTTTCTTGCTGATCATCTCTCCTCTCTCTTGGTGCTGTATTAAAGAGACAACTCATACTGAGTGAAGAACTTCCAAGAAAATAATCTGCTAAATAGAATGGCACGCTAACATCTCACTATAAATTAATGAAATGTGAAAGCCTTTCTACTCTCGTAGTGCTTTGAGTAATTCTTATAACTAAAATTTACCACTTTATGTTACAGGAATATTAAAGCTAGCCACATTCTGATTTCAGGGGATGGGCTGGTTTCTCTCTCTGGCTTAAACAACCTCTACAGTTTAGTTAACAATGGACAAAAGTCAAAGGTGGTATATGATTTCCCCCAGTTTAGTACATCCGTGCTTCCTTGGCTGAGTCCTGAACTACTGAGACAGGTTAGTATAAATTACACTTCATTTTTCCTATTCGAAGTTACTGGAAGTACTGAACTTCTAACTTAAGTCTGGTTGTAGAAGTGCAATGGAAGCTGTTGAACTGCAACTTTTTAAAAGACATAGATGTACTGAATTTGTAATTCTCCTAAAGAGAACTGGTTTTAAAGCTGTTGGTAAGGTGGTGCTGTACTAAGACTCTTTACCTGACCTTCCTGGAAACTACTGCAGATCCTAAAACTTGTCTTCAGTACAACCATTAGATTTCTGAACAAAGCCTGAGGTTTCACAATTTAATTGCCTCAATCCCATGTAGATTACAGGGTATTAGAATCTTGTCCTGAAACAGACACTTGTATTTTTGTCGGCACTGCTCAATGGCATCAGTGATCCCATAGCTTGCTTTCTCTCACAGGATTTGTCTGGGTATAACATGAAGTCTGACATTTACAGTGTGGGAATTACAGCATGTGAATTAGCCAATGGACATGTTCCTTTTCAAGATATGCCTCGCACTCAGGTATGATGCTAAACTCTATTTCTGCTTCAAAATGCTCTGTGCTTTTGTTTGTTTTACTCAGAGAAACCAATGCTATTACTGCTGAAATGATGGCTGCTTTTTATTATTCCAAATATGCATGCTTCTTTCTAGATCAAATAATCCTTCCATTCCTGGAGTTTCACAGCTTAGCCTGAATAGGTCTGGATAGCTGTTGGACCCTTACACTGCTATTCCTTTCTAATAGATGCTGCTGCAAAAGCTGAAAGGTCCCACATATTGTCCCTGGGATATAAATACCTTTCCCCATGGGGAATCCAGGATGAAGAATTCCCGATCAGGTGTTGATTCTGGAATTGGTGAGAGTATGACACGCACAATGACCAGTGAAAGACTACAAATTCCCTTTTCCAAAACATTTTCACCTGCTTTCCACAACTTGGTAGAACTTTGCTTGCAACAGGACCCTGAGAAAAGGTAACCTTCTGGTGAAAACTAATTTTCTGTCACTCAATCTAAGATGAAGTATCGCTCACAATTTAGGATACAGTAATGAGTTGAATACTGTTAAGGTCAGAATTTCAGACCAGAAGTACTATGCAAAACACTACACTTACCTTTGGTTTTGGAACTTAAGAATTATCTTGTCTGATACAGGAACCATGCTTTTAAAGTCGTTTGACCCCTGCATTTCTTGTAATATGAACGTACTTTGTAACAAGTAAAATTAATTTTTAAACATGCATTTTGTCCAAGAAAAAACCAGAAATCTGAAGTGTATGTTTTCAGTACTACGCCTCTTCTGAATGAGGCATTAAATTCCTTGTAAACAGAAAAGTGAAAATGCCTTTAAAAATAGATTTCTTTAGTAGTGCCTTCACTACAAATGGAGGCATAGAATGTAGGGATTCTGTGCTGCTCTTCTCATGCTTCACATTTGTCCCGTGGATGAAAAATCACAGGGCTTAAACTGATTTGTCAGTCTGGCCCATTTTCCAAAAGCAGTATTTTACCTTCCAAAACATAATTGTATTGTTCATTTTATGATCCAGGCCATCAGCAAGCAGTTTGCTTTCGCATACGTTCTTCAAACAGGTGAGTTTACTATATTTTGTTAAATGATACAGCTATAACCTAACTAAGCCACAAAATATTAGAGTTGGATTACAAAATAATTAAGTTAGCTGGAGCCAAAAAACATACTGTAACAGCATATCTGCTTCAGACTACTTTTTTTTTTTTTTAATAAAATAGTATTGATAGAGTATAGGAAGCATAAGAATAATCCATTTCCCCTTTGATAAAGTTCGTTTAACTTAACTAAAGTTAGCCTAACTAATAAGAATAATGGTTAATATTCTTAATTTAAAGCAGAGCAACTGCATAGCTAATGTAATTAGTCTTGAAAGACTAATTCAACTTACTGTAGAGTAAGGAAAGCTAAACCCCTCATCCTGTTATTTTCAATATTGTAACATGCAAGAACGTGGCGCTCATTTCACAGGCTTTTAATGAAGTCAGATGCAAGGTTATATAGACTTTTATGTGCAGCCATGTTTTAACTTTTCTTCTTTCTAGATAAAAGAACAAACACAGAATTCACTACTCTCTCTATTACCACCTCCTATTCAAAATAACAGATCAGAGTTCTTGGCACTGCCCTCAACAGCAGTTGGTACCGAACTTGGACATGTTACTGCAAATCAAGATGATACAGACTGGGAATTCTGAATAAATGCCAAACAATCATACCTCTCCTGTGCTTCAAAGAAGGAAAATGTGATTTGTATTTGCTGCTTTAGTTTGTATGGTTAAAATACAATTAGACAAGGTATACTTGAAAATGCCATTGAAGTGGCCATATTTCATTAACTACTTCCTCTGTTGGCATCATGAAGTGCAGCGTGCCTCACTTTCTGACCGTAAGGAAAACTGTATATAGAGAATGGCTGAATGCTTATCTCCCTCTTTCAAAATATTTCTTAACAAGAGAGTTCCTGCTGTAATCTCACTCTATACTGTATTTTGAGTTCATATTGCTGCAGTCCACGTGCCTTTCTCAATTCAGGCATGGGTTTTGTCTGTGACCTTAACTTAAACAATCTATTTGTCTTTTCATTATCACCCAAATTATTTTAGTAAGGAGAAATCCTCCACTTCCAAATCTAAATTTGAAACTGCACAAATTATTTGCTTATGCAAATAAATGTTTCTCTTTTCACACATACCAAAAAGCATTTTTCTCACTTGACGTGCTGTCATACTTGCTGAAAAGTTAGCTGTGCATCGTTTTTCATGTAGTTTTAATACTGCGTGTTTCCCAAAGAAGTTAAGCTGCTTGAAAACATGACTCATGCTCTTGCATTTGTCTACATTCATAGTACAAATCTGTGCTTTTGCATCTCCATGTATTGTTGTGTCATTTTAGCAATTAATCTGAGGACTTCTTACTATGCAAAGTAAGTCTCAAGTTATAACAGGTACGGGTTAATTTTTAAGAATCATATTAATCAATCTGAAGTTACTGTACATATTTTTATTTATGCTGTATTCCTGTTCACCACCAGAACCTAATACTGTTTTCTTAAAAAACAGGCAACATGCATTAAGCTTCACTGCCACTGCTGCTGGCAAAGAAGCCTCTCCTGCAAGCCGCAGTTAAATTCCCATGGATAGGTGCAGCCATAACAAGACCCTAATAAACCCCCTACGATCCTAGTGAATTTATCTGTTCTAAGTAAGGCAGATGAAAAACTGCCTTTCTTCTCCCTACAATTCAGTAAATTCTCATCTCTAACATTGAGGCAACTCAAGCTGAACAAAAGCAGCTTCTTTTAAAAAAAGCTGCGTATTCTCATCATGTTTTAGCAAAACTTGTGCCCCAAAGCTACATTAGTAAATTACTAGTAAGTTCTCACTGTAGTAAAAAGGTATAAACAGATATCAAATGGATATATTTTAAATTTTCAACATAAACAACATTCCACATTAAGTCTTCAAGTCTTCCACAGTTGAGCCAGTCTGCAACTAACCTTGAGAATATTACTACTTTACCAGAAGCTTCACTACAAAGCCTTGAGGACCAAATGACCAAAACGCAAGCCTGAGACAGACATAAAATTCTAAACGACCACATTAAAGTATTAACAAAAAAGTCGATTCTACTCATTATGCTGTGAAGAGCTCTCTATATTTCAAAACATAATACATGAAACAAACACCTTTCAATAAACTTACCCTATCTGTCTCCATTTATTTCTGTAATTCTTCTATTTTCACCATAGTCCAGTCATACTAACAGCTTCTTGTTACTGCAGGAAAGAAGTTTCATATTTATGTCAGTCATTAGATAAGAAAATAGTTGTCTAAACTAGAAAATTACTCTGATCATAAAAATACTAATAACTTAATTATGCACTCTTAGAGAAGATACTATTTTTACGTGAACCCCATGTTCTTAATTCTTAACCACAAATTTTAACTGTTTTCAAATCAAATACATTATATAGCATCTACAAGTAACTTTTGACTAACAGTACCCAAGTCAAATAACTGAGAACACACATGAAGTTGTACATATTTTAATTACAGACCTCTGAATAAGCATTAATACTCTTTTTTAAAAAGGCAAACTGCAGAAAATTTCAGGCAGCTTAATGGCTAGTATTTGCAAGCATCTTTTGAAACAACAGTGCTGCGCACTCTCTCTATAAAAATGAACTTGGATACTAATAGCAATATAGTATAGTATATAAATAGTATAAATTGATTTAAACAACTGTGTGTTCCAGTGGAGTTACTTTGCTGCTGCCTCTTTCTGTGGAAAAAATTAAAATTACCTATCTCTAAATACTGGTCCAGCTTCTGTATTGACATAACTTTTAAGAAAATGAAATACAGTTTTGTAAGTTTAAAAAGCTCACAATTTTTACTGTTAGAACTATTGCTTTTCAACAACTATAGTATTTTGAAACAAAAGCAATTAAGAGGTGCTGTGACTTCTAGTAATTCTTAAAATAACCAGAAATGCTTGAAATTAGTCTCTCGATTATGTTTGCTGAAAAGTTTGCTGCAGTTTTGCTCATTAACTGCGATACTTTCTGTTAAGGAGTAATGCAAAATACGAACTACAAGTTAACAAAAAAAAAAAGTATAATCATCCTATTGTTAAGGAGGTTTCAACTACCTGTTACTGAAAAGAAGTTCATGGAAATAACTGTGTTCTACTGAAAATCTGAAGATTTTGCATACAGGTAGTGTTTTCAAAATCTGAGATTCATTATCTGTATTGTAAAGATTCAAGTTGCAGAGACTTTCTCTTCCAAGCTGACATAGCACAACAATTTTTCGCTTCTTTTTGGAGCACTTGTTTACTCACTTTTACTCATACCAATGATGTGTGTTACCAGCATATGAACTAGAACTGAACTTGGACTTGAAATTTTCAAGTATTTTACATTTAGGCTTAATGTGAGGTGTTTTCAAAGGGGCTTATAAAACTTTTATTTTGCGAAATCTCATGGCCACTGAAACATAAATTTATAGCTTGGTTACTTTTGCAATACTTGTGAAAACAACACAAGGTGTGGTGTTTGGTTTTTTTTTTGCTTCCACATTCTTTGTGCTAGCATTTAACACTACATAAAATAATGAAATACCTGTAACAATAGAAAACATGTTAATTAACATTATCCTGACTATACGCTCATGCTGTTGAGTTTCTTACTGTCTTGGTCTGATATCACAGCAGTGTGTGAATGACTGAATGGATCAACACAGGAAGAAGTGTGATTTACTCAGAGTCAACTCGATCTGCTATATGAACTACTCACTTTAGAGTCTCAATGCAATAAATATCCATTGAAGAGATAACAATGTCTTCTACTTGATGCTATTAAGGAACAAAAGTAAATATTAAAAAAAAAATTACTGAGTTTTACCTTGCCTCTCTCTTTTCCCCACCCCCTCCTTCTCCTCAAGTGCTATGAAAGCAGTTTTTAGCCTGGAGGATGGGTGAAATCATGGGAAAGCATTTGAAAAACATTGTTCTGAATGTCTCTGACACAAGGCAGACACCTAAGTAGGTGACTTATGTACCCTGTCTTTAATGCTAGTAAGTAGCTTTGCTAAAGTATATTAGGTTTAATAAACCTCTAAAACAACTAAGCTAGCTGTAATGACCTGTCTTGATGATGGTCATCCCTATCCTGTATGAATGAGAAAAAACTGCTAAAATTCAGAGATACTACACAACACATCCAGTGAGACAGACCTCAAAAGACTATGAATAAGAACCGTACTATGAAATAAAGCTATTTGATGTAACAGACCGGTAAAGACTTAAGGATTTAAAAAAGAAAGCACTGAAAATTTGAGGTGGTCTACTAATAACCAGCTAGCAGAATAACATTTGGTATTTAACACAATTAAATCTATCCAGCAACTTAAGATGAAGAAAAGAATATTAGGTTTAAACAGGTTCCTGTGGAAACCTCCATCATTCCCAAATGAAAACAGCTGATTCCATTCCATAAATTAGTTACATAAATGTATGTTACTTATCCAAAAGTCCCATCAAGTTCCTGAAAAATGCCAAAAAAGCCCATAAGAAATTAGCTGCAATTGACTTTTATTTTTAGGTATGATTACAGAATACGCCATTACTACTGGATTTACCCACAAATCCAGATTCATGGAAACTGTATTTGTCCTATCATGAAATCCACCTGCAATAAAGGAGACCACTAATACAGGCTGAAATCTTGCCTAACAGTCTTAACGGGGCTTTCAAAGTTTAGGTTATGGCAAAACAAATTGACACACTAGTAATAAAGTAGTAAGTAAAGGAATATTACATCAAAAATTCCCAGAAAAGAACTCCGTGAACCTTCAGAGCAGCTGCTTTTGCTCACTGTAGTTATAGTACTGTCGTTAAAGTTGATTAACCATATTAGAAAACATCCACTTGAAAATATTTCCATTTTTTTAAATAATAAGATTTTTTTCCTTTCCCACACTTTCACATTTCTGAAACGCAAGAGATTATTGTGTTAGCAAAAACACATTTTCTATCATGGTCATTTTTTTCTTGCAATGGTCTGGTCTCTTTGCCTAATCCACTAGCTTATCACATTAATCAGTTACAATTCTGATTAAGATTGCACAATGTGCAACACCTTATTTTGTAAATGACCAAAGCCAGAAATGCTTTACAACACCTGTTATCAAATCCAAAGGTCCACTGCAATGTGAAAACACATTTAATGTTGGTTAACAAATTACTTAAAGTAAAAGATGCAATAAAGATATTGTGAGAACGTTATTATTACTAGTACTACTACTACTACTACTTTTTTTTTTTTCATCACCATCTGGGAATATTATCTTCCCATATGAGATTCCATGTGAGAGTTTCCTTGCCCTCTCACTTTTCTTTGGAAGGGCATTCTGGATTCACTTGTCATTTTGGGGTATCACAATTTCCAGTAGTAAGTTTTGGAGAATTTCACAGAATTCACCCTTTTCTTGATTGATTTCCATTTGCTCTGCTTGAATGTTTTGATTCTCAGACTTCAAGCTGGTAGTGTTTCCTGTAACTTTACTAATAGAGGAATCCAATGATGCAACGTAAGAATTTACAGGCTGTATTCTGGAGGTCTCTTTAGCTGACCTACAAATATGGGGAACCAGTATAGGGTCTTGCAGAATACAGTGGCTGACTTATTCTCCTGGAGCTCCTCCTAAATCAAGTAGAGCAGTCTCTGCTGCTTTTGCAAGATCCCATATATGTCCATGTTTGTATCTTCTTTGCTTGCATAATTCTGAAAGTAAGTTAAGCTAATTTGATCCTGGAAAAATTTTTAAAGGATGGCAGCCAACATCAAATAATTACATTTTTTCTTGATTTTATCAATATTCAGACTTCACATTCAGTGACAATGTATGTATGTCCAAACATACTGGCTCTAAAATACTTTATCTAAAACGTATTGCCCTCTATCTGTTCTTCTTAAAATATCTCATAACTTACTAATCAGGTTTATTCTATTAGTAGTAGTAGTAATAAAATGTAACGCACTAACACATAATTAAGGATAGGAAATGCCTTATTAACAGATTTTACAGGATTTCTGTGAAGCCATTAGAATATTTGTAACAGCTTCACACTCACAAGAAGAGGAGTAAGTTAGCACATTTTGTTCAAGGGTCTCAGTCA